GCCCCAGCGCCTGTTTCACGAGTGAGTAATGCTGAATTACAGCGCTAAGGAGCTCTCCGGGGATCCTTCGCAATAACAGGAATAGTTTATGCGATTTGCATAATTGGTATGATGGGATTTTGCATCACGTTGCTGAGCTCGGGGAAGCGTCCGGGGCAGAGCCGAGGTGCTGCTGGGGGCTCTGGGCACGCTGGGGGGCTCTGGGCACCTTCGGGGGCTGTGGGCACCTTCGGGGGCTGCCTCCCCCCAGCCCAGCCCCGCCTGGCAAGGACCAGCCAGGCACAGGGAGGTGGCAGAAGGGACAGGTTCATGTCCCGCTGCCATCCCCTGCCCGTGTCACCCCTTCTGTCCCTCCAGCTGGCACTGGGCTGGTCACAGCCCCACAGCCCCCTCGGGCACGTTTGCCTGTCCCATTGCCACTTCTGATGGCTGTGGCTGCCCATCCCAGCTCCGGGAAGCAGCAAAACGCCGGATCTCGGTCCTGAAGGATGCGGTGCCAAATTCCCCTGCTCCTGTTCCAGCCCCAAGGCCACCCAGCTCCCTGCACGGCATCCCAGCCTTTCCGCAGGGACGCGGCTCCTCCTGCTTCACAGCACAGCCCAGCCCGGGGAGTGCTCTGCTCTCATTTCCTCTCTCGCTAATTAATCACCGAGCCAGCCCCGGAGCAGCCCGGCACGGCTCTGCCGAGCTGCCCGAGTGGCAGCCACGGGCAGGGGACACGGGCTGGGGACACCCATCACGCGGCACCCACGACTTGAGGAGCCGCATTCCACGGCAGGGCAGGGCAGGGCAGCAAAACGGTGACACAGGGACAAGTGCCACCTCCCAGTGCTCCTTCCACCCAGCCAGCGCGGGTCCCGCGTCCCCCAGGAGAGGAATTGTGGCTCCAGTGTCACAGCTGGCCCTGCTGAGGCATCCCAGCCCCGCCGAGCAGCGGCAGGTCCCGTCTGGCACCGGGAGCCACCAAAGGTCACATTCCCGGCCTGGCCGCGCCGTGCTCGGACAGACCCGCTTTGTTCCCCCGGCGCTGCTCTAATTAGGGAATTGCGCTGATTTTTTTTTCTCCCTTCACAGTTGAACTATCAAAACTTGGGTTTGTTCCCTGCCAAAGCCTCTTCTACTCTGCTGGTGACTCAGAGTGACACCGGGGGGGAAAGGGAAGGAGCCAGGGGTGGCTCCCAGGGTGTCCCAGTGGGCAGCCGGGATGGGGGGTGGCACTCCAGGGTTTGGGTGCAGAATGCAGCACCCCGGCAGTGCCCCCAAGTGTGGGAAGCACCTGAACCCCTGGAACCCCACACAGGGCAGGGCAAGCTCAGGGTGTGGATAATGAGGAGGAGAAGGAAGATGAAAGATCCACCAAACTGTGCCTGGTTCTGAGTCAGGGTTTGCCAGGGAGGGTGGGGGACAAGGGACACTGTGAGTTCATTCCCCTGGGGTGGGAGCTGAGGGGGGACAGTGAGAGCCCCCAGGGCCTCTGAGCCCCTCGTGCCAAAAAAGCAGCAGGGCCCAGATGAGAGGCCACGGATCCGACACCTCCGGGGTTCTCAGCTCTGTTTTGTTTTTCCATGGGTGTTCCAGGAAACACCGGAGGCAGCGGAGCATGACAGCGTGTCAGGGTGCAGCCGTGTGGGGTGCTGCTGTGTTAGGGGGTGCAGCTGTCCTGGGGTGGGCTGGCAGCTCCCTCCCTCCCCAGCAGCGCTGCCATCCAGCTGTGTTGGCATAGAAACTGCCAGGGCTCTGCAGGCAGCGCTGCCAGCTGGGCACATCCCATGGGATGGAGCAGTGTCCCTGTGGAACAGGGACCGTCCCTCTGTGGGCAGCAGGGAATGGGCAGCACCATCTCCCAGCAGAGCTCCTCGTTTCTCCCTCCCCCTGCACGGGAATCCCACAGTGCCACACCAAGTGCTGGGAATAGCACCGAGATCCAGGAGGAGTGAGTGACTGCTCCCGGGAATGCTGCACTCCCTGTCACTGTCACACGTGCTGTGCCTGCCCTGGGCATTGTTCAGTGGCCAGAACTTCTCCAGAGCCTCAGCACAGGGGCCAGGGCCGTGCCAGGGCCGTGCCAGGGCCATGCCAGGGCTGTGCCAGGGCCGTGCCAGGGCCAGGGCTCCAGGGAGGGCTCCGGGCGCTGCGGGGGCAGCCGAGGCAGGAGCCTGAGTTTTGTTGCTGTTCTCCAGGGTTTAATTAACAACGAGCAGCGCTGCCTCCACGCTCCTCTCGCTCAACATCTGGCCAACTCAAACACAGCTGGAAGAGCTCCGTGCAGCCCTCCCGGCAGGAGCTGGCTCCCGCCCCGCTGCCACAGCTGAGGGCACGGGGAGTGGTAATGAAACACCCCCAGCTCGGCACAGCTGCTTTCCCAGGCCCTGGCAGGACGGGCCGGGGGGGCTGAGCCACCCCGAGGGTCCGGCTGGTGCAGGCAGGGGGGTCGGGGGCATCCCGCTGCTCCCAGCAGCAGGAGAGACGTAAATCCAGAGTAAATCCAGAGCAAATCCAGAGTAACGAGGGAGCAGCTGCTGTCCAGAGGCTCAGGAACAGCCCAGGTGGGGTCTCAGCCTGCAGCGGGTGTCCCAGTCCCTGTGCCCACTCCAAAGCAGGGACAGTCACACACAGGCGCTCGGGGGTGGCTGGACAACTCCACAGGGATGGAAGCACCAAGTCCTACAGAGGGAGGCAAAATGGGATGGGACAGTGTGGTCCCTCAGGAGGGAGCCACGGGTCCATGTGAGCCCTGAGTCTGGGCATGGATTGACCATGGATCACTTTGACAATTCCAGAGTAATTCTTACAAATCCCCTAATTTGGCCTTGCTGTAAACCCAGGGAGAGGAGGGCAGTGGCCGAGGCTCTCAAGAATCCCAGCTACACCAGGGCCGTGCCAGGACTGTCCCAGCACTGTCACCTCCCGGGGCCATCCAGGCAAACAGTGCCAAACAGGGCTGTTTGTGTCACACACCGAGCCTGCTCTGAAATTCCCTGCCCACATCTCTCCCAGGAGCAGGCAGCAAGGAGGGCAGGGAGGAGGAAGGCAACTCCTGCTGATCCAAAACACTCCCTGTGCAAACACGAGGCTGGAAGAGAGTCGGAGGAGCCACTGGAGCCACTTTATTGTCACAGCACAGCACAGAGGTCACAGCCCACTCCCGGCCCTTCCCGAGGAGACCCGGCAGGAGCTGTTGGGGCAGGGATTAGCGGCCGATCTGCTCCCAACTTTCCTGCTGGATCACTAAATGGCCTCTCCACTGTGGCAACAATGAATGGAAGGAGCTGCATTAACCCCTTCAGCACCAGCCCTGCTCCCTCTCCGCACCCGCAGGGAGTGCAGCCCCCGGGACCCGGCCCGGCCTGGCACAGCATCCCTGGGGAGGGCTGGCTCATCTCTCCTGCTGCCAGGACCTTCAGCAGAGAGGAGACCTGAGCACAGGGATGGCAGCACACCCTCCTCAGGCCTCTCCCGTGGCGATGCCAAGCCCAGGGAAGAGTTTTCCCAAAGCAGCAGCAGTGGAAGCTGCTCTCCTAGGACAGATCCCTTCCTGGGAGTGCCCCCCAGATGAACCAGGGGCACGTTCAGCAGCCCAGCACCGGCTGGCACCGGGCTGAAGGGGCCCTGAAGGAAAAGCACTGCCCAGAAATGCTCCTGCCAGCACGGCACTGGTGAATCCAAGGCTCTCTCTGGTGGGAACAGGCTGCGTTGCAGCACAGCCGCGCTGAGCAGAGACAATGAACCGCCGGGAGCAGAGCAGGACCCTGTCCTGGCAGGGCTGGGAGCAGGAGCTGGTGTCCCCACAGCGGCTGGGGTGACCAGAGACACGGTCCTGGGGCCATCCAGAGGCAGCAGCTGCTTTGCCAGCACTGTGCTGGTGTCAAACACAGGGCCAGGCACTGTGGGGTTGGTATGGAACACTAGTGAGGGCACAGCAGTGGGAGTGGGAATGGGGTGCTTCCAAAGCACTCACTGCCTTGGGGACATATGAGGAGGACGAGGATGCCCTGGCCCGTCTTTGGAACACAACAGAGAGGACATGGAGCACACAACTCCACCCAGAGCTGCTGCTGGCCCAGCAGCACAGGGGAGCTCCCCAGTCCCTGGGATCGCTTTTTGTCTAGCACCAGATCCCACAAACCCAACAACAGCCCCACAAAGTCTCCAAGGACCCTCTGGTCCTTCTGCTGTTGCAGAAATGCAGATTGAGGGTTGTGGCTTCAAGAACATAAAAAGTGAAGATCTGCAGTGTCCTGAAGAGCATCTGCAAGCTGGCGGGTGAGCTCGTTCCAAGAGCACCCAAATCTGCTCCCACCTGGCTGCCAGCAGCGTTCCAGGCCCTTCAGCATCCCAGTGGGTCCTCAGAGGGGTTGGGGCTCCCTGGAGCTGCTCCCAGAGCACTTTGGAGTGGTGATTTCTGGAGCTTCAGGCCCCATGTCCGGAGCAGCACGAGCCCAAGGAAACGTGTCCGAGTCCCCGAGGAAACGTCCGGCAGGAGCTCTGGAGCAGAGTCCGTGGGATCCATCCGTCCATCCCAGGCAGAGGAGAACTCTGATGCTGGAGCAGAGCCCACGAGGGACCAATCCTGGCTCCTGACACAGGCATGGTAGGAGATTTCTGCCAGCCCAGGGCTGCTCAGCTCCGCAGGGCTCCGGGGCCAGGCCTGAACCGTGCCCAGCCCCTCAGCTCACAGCAGGTCAGGCTCTGCTGGGCCACAGCCACCGCAGCAGGAGCAGGGCTGAGCAGCCAGGCTGAGCCTGGCCCAAACCAAACCCCCTGGGGCTGGTTCTGCACGAGCCAGAGCTCCAGCACTGCCCAAGTGCAGCAGGACAGGGACACAGGCACTCCTGCACAGATGGAACCAGGAGAGAGGAGGGACAGAGGGACACCAGAGTGCTCCACAGGGCTTGTGCTCACCCAGCCCATGCCCAGCACAAACGTGGTCACTCTGAGCATGGCATTTCCTGGGATTTGGCCACAGCAATCAAACCTACAGAGAAAAATTTGGCCTTGGATGATTTAGAGTTGCTGTTTAATCCCGAGACAGCGCAGCTGAGTGAGTTTGGAATTTAAGTTACAAAAAAAGAAAGCACTAGAAAACAATCTTGATACAAGAGCGATAATCAGCTGAGGTTCCCCACCCTGTGCAGGGAATCCTGCTCCACAATCCACCCAGCACAGCTGGGATGCTGCCAAGGCATTGCCTGTTCCCAGCACACTGGGAGGGCAAACTGTCCAGGGTGAAAGTTTGGTGGGGGAAACCCCAGCACTGGGAATTAAGATGCTGCCACCAGCTCTGGCTTTGGCCTGTTCTTGATGGGTGACACTTCTGTGGAAGGAAAAGAAACTTGTTACAGAATCAGAGAATACGAATATCATGCAGCCTGAGGAGGATCCAGGGCTCAGAGTCCACTCTGCAGGGCAGCAAATGCTTGCACAGCTAAGAGAAATTGGTTATAAATAACCCCACATTTCCATGAGGAAATGCCCCTTTTTCACAGCACTGAAGAACTACAGACTTTCAGAACATGCCCAGCCCAGGGACAGATCCTGGGCAGGAGCAGGAGCAGGGCCAGCTCTGCCCTCACCCCTGGGCTGTTTTGTTTGGCCTCAGTGCTGACATCTGAGCCCTGTTTAGGAGTAAACAAGCTCCAAGGAAACCCACATCCCAGATTGCCCCTGGGCAGATTCCACACAGGGAAATGGCTTCTTCCAGCTCCTCTTTGCACAAGCAGGGAGGTGCAGCTCCTGTGAGCGACAGCTCAGGGCTCTGCTGTCCTGGGAGAGGAGTCTTCACCAGTCTGAGTTTTCAGCTCCTTAGCACAGACACCTAATAAATCCCAGTGGGCTCCTTCCCTGCCAGGCAGGGCCACCAGGGCCTGCTTGGTCACCTTCTTGGTCAGCTCTCCCACTTCCCAGCTCCATTCCCACACAAATCCATCCACTGAGGCTTCGGATCGCCCAGGAACACCCAGGGACCTTCAGCTGTATGGAGCTCATGCTCTGTCAATCCTGGAACTGTGGGACTCCACTGATCCTCATCCAGCTGCTTCCAAATCACTGGGAAGTGAGGTGGGAAGAGCTCCAAGTCATTTCCCAAGGAAATCCAGTGTTGTCAGGGTGAATCCAGCATCCACAAAATACCCGTCCCTGTGCTGCGACGACGGGGCCGGCCGGGGCTGTGGGAGGAAGCCTTGCCTGGCTCAGGCAAGGCAGGAATTCCTCATGGAGCCTCCCGATGAATGAGGTGTCTCAGGGCAGGAGGTTGCCTCAGAGCAGGTACAGGATGTGACAAGAACAGCAGGGGCCACACAGGGAGCTCCCCAAGGCAATGACCAGATGCCAACGGAGCAGCGAGCGGAGCCTCGGGTCCTCCTGGAGCGAGGGCCCAGCTGGGCCTGTCCCCACTCCAGGAGCTGCTGTCCCTCCCATTTCCCAAGGCACTGACACTGGGAGAGGCCTCAGAGCCCTGCACAGCACAGGAGCACGAGAGGCCAAAGCTGTGCAAGGAGAACATACCTGGGATCTTCTCCGGGAGCGGCTCCGAAGGAACTTCTGGAAGCTCCAACTGTTCCTGCGAGGACATTAAAGACAAAGTGTCACACGTGCCACAGAGCACAGCTGTGGGCAAACCCAGGGTGGCAATGCCCCAGATGTGCCCCCAGACTGACCCTGAGAGTAGCAAAAAGGCACTTTAACTGCTATTAAAAACAGCTGCCTAAAAACGTGGATTTTAACCACAAGAACATCAACCCCACCTGAGTAATAGCATTTAATTCTTCTAGAATGGCATCTTCATCCTCCTCAGTCAGGCTGCCAGCCAGGAGCTCGTCTATTTGCTGTGGGAGAGAGGGAAGGACATGACACCCCAGCCTGGTGGCTCTGGGGTGCAGCACCCACCCCAGCAGCTCTGTGGTGCTGCTCCCAGCTCCTCGTGCACGCACCCTCTGGTACTCCACAGCATCCTGGGTTTCTCCTATTATCCTTTCCACTTCTTCTATGGACATAACCTGATGGGCAGAGCCAAAATCCAGGTGTGGGAGGGGGCAGGGAGGCAGCTCCAGCCAGGCCCCCCTGAAGTGCCCCAGCCACGGGTACCTGGTGCATCTTGTTCAGACACTCGTTGCCTATTTTCAGGCCCTCGATGACCTTCATTTCAATCTGGGTGAATTCAATGTCCTGCACCTGCAGTGGCAGGGAGAAAGGGAAGAGCCTGTCACACTTTGGCCAGGCACTGGCACAGGCTGCCCTGGGAACCCTGCAGGGATTTAACAGAAATGGGGATGTGGCAGCTGGGGACAGTGGGAGTGCTGGGGAGTGACTGGGCTCAGAGGGCTCTTCCCACCTCAATAATTCCATGGTTGCCATTCTTAGGCAGACACAGGCTGCCAGCACCACCAGAGAAGCTGCAAGGAGGAATCAGTGGTGCTGCTGGCACCAGCAGCAGGAAACATCCACACAAAAAGCTCAGCACAGGCAGCTGCACCAGCAGGTCCGACAGCCCCTGAGGTGATTTCACGGGATCTTCCAGCTGCCAGTGCCAGCTGAGACCTCCCCAAACCCAAACACGTCCAGCTCTGAAATGACAGGGCTGACACAAGGCAGTGCAGCCATCCCCCCTGTGAGTAACGTTCCAGCAATTTCCAAACCACACCTTTAGCAGGGAAGCTGCAGGTTCCAGACACACCACTCCGTGTCTCCAGGGAAAATCGTGGCACACGCACAATTTTGGAGATGTTTGCCCTTGGACAGAGGGCTGAACACCTGCCAGGACCTGGCAGCTGGAATGGAATGGAATTCCAGGACATCCCAGGGGAGCCCCAGCCCAGAACACCCCCAGGCCTGGCTCACCATCCGCTCCAGGTTGCTGATCTGGTTCTCTGTTTTATCCAGCAGCTGCTCCTGGTACCGTTTCTTCTTCAGCAGGAGCATGGCTTTCCTGAGGGACACACAGGGATGAAGCAACTGAAGCCTAAAGGAGCCCCATCAAAGCCACACTTGTTCTGTGCTTCTGCTAAAAGGGGACAACTTGTGTGCAGCTGAACTGAGCCAGGACCTGCTCCTGCGAGGAGCAAGGACGAGCAAACTGGGAATTGGGAATAAATGCTGCCCTGGGAGGTGCTGAGGCCCTGCCACAGGTGCCCAGAGCAGCTGTGGCTGCCCCTGGATCCCTGGCAGTGCCCAAGGCCGGGCTGGACAGGGCTTGGAGCAGCCTGGGACAGTGGGAGGGTCCCTGCCATGACAAGGGTGGAATGGGATGGGTTTTAAGGTCCCTCCCAACCCAAAGCATTCCGGGATTCCAATTCCCACAGCCCAGCTGCGTTTCCCTCCCGGTGACACCCCGGCGGTGGCACTGCCACCCCCCTCGGCCCCGGCTGACCCCTGCCCCTCACTCTTTCTTGCCGTCCCGGAGCAGCTGCCGGGCCAGCGCCCGCTCCCGCTCCAGCCCCAGGCTCAGCCGCTTCTGGTACTGCCGGAGCTTGTCCCGCTGCTGCTTCAGTTGCTGCGGGACAGACGGACACGGGGAGGGCGGGACGGGCGGACAGGGGGGCGGACAGGGGAACGGACAGGGGGACAGACAAGGGGACAGACAGGGGAACGGACAAGGGGACAGACAGGGGAACGGACAAGGGGACGGACAGGGGGATGGACAGGGGACAGACAGGGGGACAGACAAGGGGACGGACAGGGGAACGGACAGGGGACAGACAGGGGGATGGACAGGGGACAGACAGGGGAACAGACAAGGGGACGGACAGGGGAACGGACAGGGGGACAGACAGGGGGACGGACAAGGGTCACAGCTCAGTCCTGGCAGCTCCAGCCGCCCTCAAGCAGCGCCGTTCCCCCGCCCGCTGTCCCCGCGGTGTCACCGGCAGCACCGGGGGTCGCTCAGCCCCAGCACGGCCGGTCCATCCCCCCAACTCCCCGGCACGGCCCGGCCCGGTCCGTCCCCCCCCCCTCAGCTGCACGGCCCGGGCCCGCTCCCCGGCACGGTCCGTTCCCCCCCTCACCAGCACGGCCCGGTCCGTCCCGCTCTCCCCCTCACAGCCCGGTCCGTTCCCCCTCACCAGCACGGCCCGGTCCTGCTCCGTGACGCGGCTCCGCCGTTTCCGCCCGAACAGGTTCCCCATGGCCGCTCCTGCCCGGCCCGGCCCGGCCCGCCCCCGACGGCGGCCGCGAGGGGCCCGGCCCCGCACAACGCGCAGCGAGCGCGGCAGTGCGGCAGCGCGCCGCTGGGGGGCGCGCTGGGGACGGGAATATCGGGAATTCCTGAAAATATCGGGAATGGCGAGAAAAATATCGGGAATGGGGTTAATAATACCGGGAATGGAGATAATAGCAGGAATGGAGATGAAAATATCGGGAATAGGGGTAATGACATCGGAAATACGGATAATGATATCGGGAATGGGAATTAAAATATCGGGAATAGGGGTAATGATATCGAGAATGGGAATAAAAATATCGGGAATGGGGATAAAAATATCGGGAATGGGAATTAAAATATCGGGAATGGGAACTAAAATATCAGGAATGGGGATAAAAATATCAGGAATGGGGATAATAATGTCGGGAATGGGATAATAATGTCGGGAATAAAGATAAAATAGGGAATGGGGATAATAATATCAGGAATGGGAATAATATAGGGAATAGGAATAACTGGGAATGGGGATAATAATACAGGGAATGGGAATAAAAATATCGGGAATGGGGATAAAAATATCGGGAATGGGAATTAAAATATTGGGAATGGGGATAAAAATATCGGGAATGGGGATAATAATGTCGGGAATAAAGATAAAACAGGGAATGGGGATAATAGTACAGGGAATGGGAATAACTGGGAATGGGGATAACCGGGAATGGGAATGGTAAGAGAGGGTATGGGGACAATACAGGCAGTGGGATATAGGGAATAGGGAATGGGAGGGATGGCAGGGAGGCTGTAGGGGTTGGGGGTTATGGGGCCAACACCGATTCATCCCGAGGGATGGAATCGTTTGGGGTGGAAGAGCCCCCGGGCCCGGCAGTGCCAGGATCCATGGATCCCTCGGGGCTGCAGCCAGAGCTCCAGGGCTGCATCTGCACCTTGGGATTGGCATTCCTGCTGCTCCACGGGCTGGCACACGCATCTGTCACCAACACCCCCCTGGGACCGGCCAGACCCCAAATCCCCCCAGCTCCTCCCTGGGCCACAGCTGCCCCCGGCCCCACAGAAGGATCCTCACACCAGGAAGTGTTTCTGCATTTATTTTTTATTAACCATTTATTTGTCTGTAATCGTTTTACTCTCACATTACAATCGTGTGGGGGGTTTTATATATTTTTGTTTTAAACTTTATTTTTGTAAAATAAATAGAGATAAGTGAACTTTTAAGGTAGGACGCTCTCCAGATCCTTGGTTAAACTCTGTGATCCCATGATTGAATCTCTGCATCAGACCTGTGGAAGCACAGCCCACACACGCTCAGGTAAAAGCCCAACAGCCCAAATTCCTTAAAATCCCCCGTCCTGGACGCAGGGCTGCACTGGAGCCAGGCAGGAGCAGCAGCTCCCACCGCGCCAGGAATGTCCTGTTCCTTTCACAAACTCATTGATACGAGTTAAAAATCTATTCTTTTTGAAGCTGTGAATGTTAAGGGGTTACGTGAGATCCCAAACTCTGGTTCCACCCCGACGGGCAGCCTGGGAGTGGGTCGGGAAGAGGCACAGCTCTGTTAGACCATAATTAACTTTGGGTAACTTAGAAGTGGGTTTTTAGGTAGTTTTTAAGTTTAAAGCCTTTGATTCATTATCCCGGGATGTGATCCCTGACAGGGACGGTGCTCGGGGCACCCGACACGGCTCCACCGCCGTGGCTTGGGGACCTCCCAGGGCAGAGTCCCCACCAGCTGTGGCACCTCGGGGTGGCCCCGGTGCCTCAGCACAGGGGAACAGGGTGCCAGGGGCAGCAGCAGCAGGGTGGGCACGGGGCAGAGGGGGTGCCAGGGGCAGCAGCAGCAGGGTGGGCACGGGGCAGAGGTGCAGCCATGGCCAGCACAGGGACAGGGGGGTTCTGAGCCCTTCCCTCACTGCATCCCCTCAGCACAGCTGGCAGTTTGCTCACAGAAGGTTCTGGGTCCTTCCCTCACCGTGCTCTTTGCTGGAGCCTGCAGATCCCGTGGCACAGGCTGGAGGAACACTGGGAATTCCTGCAGTGAGTTCTGCACCTCTAGGAGGAAGCCTGTCCTTCGGCTGTGCTCTCCCTTCCCACACCCATCTCCAGCCCCAGAACGGCTCCCAGGGGACAAAACATTCATTATTCAGACGTGGAAGGTGCAGAAGATGGAGCAGGACAGCTGGGACGAAGGTGCTTTGCTCAGAGCTGCCTTCCTCCTCCTCCTCCTCCTCAGCCACTCTCAGTGCCCAGGCGCTTCCATGCTTGGTTCTAGAGGGGCAGGTGAGCCCCAGCCGTGGTGTGCAGCTCCAAGTCCCAAATCCTGGCCTCTCCTGGGTGCACAGCAGCCGTGGGGAGCACCCAGAGCCTGGCTGGGCCCTGGGCAGAGCTCCGTGCCTCTGGAGCTCCTGGTGGCACAGGGACAGTGGCAGCAGGAGGGGCAGTGCCTGAGGTGCCCCCAGCTCCCCACTGGCACCGTGGGCTTGGGTGGAACGTGGTGACACCAGTGATGTCCTCCAGGCTGGTTGGAGATCTTCGTTCTCTTTCTTCCCTTGTCTTCCTCACACGCAACTCTGTGGTGTGGGACATCCTGCCCTGTTTTTGTCATCTCCTTGAGCCCCTTCCCACAGGATCCCTGCCTGCCCAGGCCACCAACTCCCCGTCTGTCCTTGCTTCCAGTGGGGAGGAGGCTGCAGGGAGGGAGGAGGAGGAGGTTCATGCAGAGGAGACGCTGCCCTGCCTCCCTGGCAGCCACGTCCCATGCTCGGGTCACGCTGCCCTGGCCCAGGAATTGGGTTTGGCACAGGGGTGGCAGCAGCTGGAGGGTCCCGTGGAGCTGTTGGTGAGTCCTGACAGTCCTTGAAGAACCCACACGCAGCAAAACAAGGAACAAAGACTAAAACAAGACCCTTCTCAAGGGCGTTGCCTCATCCAAGTCCTTCCAAGCTCAGGAGCCGTGTTTCTGACAGAGAAGCCAACCACTGGAAACAAAAATAAATGTTCCTTTTCTGTAGCTTTTAGAGGATATAGCTGGAAAACAAAACAAAACAAAACCAGGAGATTGTCTCTTCCCCTTGTCAAACCCATCAGTAGCTAAGTCAGAAGAACAAATGTTCAAGTTATGGGGTGCAGCAGCAGCCAACACGAAACATTCAAGTCGATGATTTCTCTATGTACAGGAGGCCCTGCCCTGAGCCGCTCCGGGCGGGCGCCGTCATCTGATCCTCTTCTCCACCGAGTACACCGAGATGTAGAAGTCATTGCTGCCGACGGCCAGGTGGGGCTGCGGGAGAGCACAGCGACAAACGGGCACAGTCACACTCACCCGGGCTGGGACAGCCCTCCGAGGTCACCCACAGCCACCTGTGACCCATCCCCACCGGCTCTGCCCAGCCCTTCCTTGGACACCTCCGGGGATGGGCATTCCCTGGGCAGTTCCAATCCCTGAGCCCCTTTCCATGGGGGAATTCCTGCTGTGCCCACCCTGAGCTCCCCTGGCCGAGCCTGGGGCCGTTCCCTCTGCTCCTGTCCCCTCTGCTCCTGTCCCTGTTCCCTGGGAACAGATCCCAAATCCCCCCGGCTGTCCCCTCCTGGCAGGAGCTGTGCAGAGCCACAAGGTCCCCCTGAGCCTCCTTTTCTCCAGGCTGAGCCCCCTCAGCTCCCTCAGGAACTCTCCAGCCCCTTCCCAGCTCCCTCAGGAACTCTCCAGCCCCTTCCCAGCTCCCTCAGGGACTCTCCAGCCCCTTCCCATCTCCCTCAGGGATTCTCCAGCCCCTTCCCATCTCCCTCAGGAACTCTCCAGCCCCTTCCCATCTCCTTCAGAAACTCTCCAGCCCCTTCCCAGCTCCCTCAGGAACTCTCCAGCCCCTTCCCAGCTCCCTCAGGAACTCTCCAGCCCCTTCCCAGCTCCCTCAGGGATTCTCCAGCCCCTTCCCAGCTCCCTCAGGAGTTCTCCAGCCCCTTCCCATCTCCCTCAGGGATTCTCCAGCCCCTTCCCATCTCCCTCAGGGACTCTCCAGCCCCTTCCCATCTCCCTCAGGGACTCTCCAGCCCCTTCCCATCTCCCTCAGGAACTCTCCAGCCCCTTCCCATCTCCCTCAGGAACTCTCCAGCCCCTTCCCAGCTCCCTCAGGGATTCTCCAGCCCCTTCCCAGCTCCCTCAGGAACTCTTCAGCCCCTTCCCATCTCCCTCAGGAACTCTCCATTCCCTTCCCAGCTCCCTCAGGAGCTCTCCAGCCCCTTCCCAGCTCCCTCAGGAACTCTCCAGCCCCTTCCCAGCTCCCTCAGGAACTCTCCAGCCCCTTCCCAGCTCCCTCAGCCGCTGCTCCTGTGACCAGCTCCAAGGTTCAGGTGTGGAGCAGTGACAGGCACAGGTGACAGTGACATTCAGCAGGGACACCCAGCTGCTCCACAGCTCTGCAGGAGTTATGGGCCCATTTCAGCTACAGGGAAAAATTATGGGCACTATTAGTTGCCAACTGCCAACATAATTTCTCTAAATGACTGTGAATCTGCTCGTTAGGAGCCATGGCTGGGCTGAAAATGAGCATTTCCTGCAGTGAGGGGACCTGGCCCCATGGACAGGGCTTTGCTTTGCTTGTTTAAAGAGCAAACTACTCTTCCCATTACATATTAAATACCTGTCAGCTGATCTGCAGGTTTCTTAAATAACTCTTGTAACTCCCTCCAGTTTTCCCATCCATTCATTGTTTTCTCAGGCTTTCCATCTCCTCCATTTATTCTCCTCCCTGGGTGAGCAAAGTCCACTACCCAGATGGGACCTCCCTCCTCCCTGAGCAGCAACCAGATTCCCTGTGTAACCACTGCAGAGCCCCTCAGCTGTGACAGACTCCAAAATCTCCTTCTGCTCTGCCTCATTCCAGCTGTGAAAGAACTCAAAAATCTCCTTTTGCTTTTCCTCATTCCAGCTGTGACAGACTCCAAAATCTCCTTCTGCTCTGCCTCATTCCAGCTGTGAAAGAACTCAAAAATCTCCTTTTGCTTTTCCTCATTCCAG